AAGGCCTGACCAGGAGCAGTTGTGAAAAACCTTCAACAAGTAAATAGAACACAAGAGTATATTAAAACAAAAAGTTATTATTTGAAAAAAAATTAAACTATATAGTTTTATTTTTGTTTAAGAATTTGGATTGGATTGCTTTAGATTAAACAAGGCGAGACTTTCATAAAAGGAGAGGAATAACATCTTGGACGCATTGTTGTTTAGGAGCATCCTCATCCAGATCACTGAATGGGAAATAGCAGAACTTCTCGGGAACCAGCCCAGTCGCTGAGACATAAGCCCGAGCCGAAATACCAGTGTTCGACAATTTTACCGCTCGGCCACTGTTGGCTCTTTAAGAATGTGAAATGATACATTTTTACTCTAAATTTAAAGCAGGGTATGCAAAGCGAATATGATTGTAATGCAATTATTTTGGCATTTCAAACGTCAATCAAACTTTTCATATTTTCAAACATTGATACACTGCAATTCAAATAAATATTTATTCGAATAGAACCAGAATTAGTATTACTGGATTCTATTGGAATAAGATTTAGTTAATTACTATTTAGTTAATTACAGCGTGCTCACCACTACACTACGAAGGCATGCTAAGAAGGCGAGAGAAATAACTTATAGTATCACATTAACAAAGTTTAACGGCATTGGCGACTCAGAGGTTGTTGGACTACGTATAAAAAGAAGAGATCTAATGTATGAACTTGGAACTGAAACCAAGGTTAGCAAACTGTCACGAAGATCTTTATGGAAGAACCATGAGAACATTTTAAATATTTCTATACTTCACTCCGCCAGCGGCAGAAGGGTAAAGTCACTGATCACTGGTAGTTCTGACCCTGGCTCGAATCTCAGCGAACATGTTGGCTGCATGGGCATTTTCGTGATTTTTGTCCTGTGTAACGTGGATATGATCCATTTTACCTTAAAAGTCTTCCAAGGGGCATCCACTCCTTTGGCAGACAGATGCGTAGCAGTAATGAATTAAATAAAAAAAAAAAACTTCCATTACAAAAGAAGTAAAAAATAGTAAAACGTACACATTTAATGGATATCGTTTTATGCATTTAGGAAAATGTTATACTCCTTAACAGATTAAGACACAAAAGATTTGAGTACCCTACGATAAAACCTGACCCAGATATTTATTTACCAAAATTTGACCCAGCTATCAAAATTTGCCATTTCTGACATCATTTCCCATTTGCGGTTAGTTAATATTCGAAAAATTCGACATTGAGTTTCCTCGGTATTCTTTAATGCTTTACCAGCCTTATCAGTTCGTAATTTTATTACATTTGATATGATGGAACTATTTTCAGACAAGCACTATATAATTCAGAAGTCAAACAACAAACATCAGCGTTATAGTTTCAAATTTTCACAGGACTAGTTTCGATGGTTTTACCGAAACATCATCGTCAGCTGCAAAAGCGCAAATGAACGAGATAGGCTTTTATCGAGGCTTTCGAGATGCGTCATGTCGAGATAGGCTTTTATCCTAATCGTATCGAGATTGGCTTTTAATGAACGAGGATCGTTTTACCGAACCACCATCGTCAGCTGCGGTAAAACCATCGTCAGCTGCGGTAATTAGAAGGGAATGTTTCTTAAAACAAAAATAATTGATTAGTACAAAATAAGGCCTTTACAATAATAACATCCACTAAAACATCATTTAAACAACTTCTCATATGCAGTTCCTACATTACATTTCTTCATTTTTCATCGAAACTAGTCCTGTGAAAATTTGAAAATATAAAGCTGATTTTTGTTGTTTGACTTCTGGATTAGTATTTGTTCGGCGTGTTATTGTGTCTTAATTAAGCACTATATAAGTTTTCAAAGTTTAGAAATACATTAATTATCATAAAGGTTTTTAATACTTTAGATTCTTAATCTAATAATCATATAAAATTCTTTAAATACTTTCAGGCTACGGGCTAATACTAAAGTCTGCCAGTGTTTTCTAGAACCGAACTATGTAAGATTATGTGAATAAGATTTCCATTTTGAAATATATATATATATATATATATATATTGATTAATACTTTTCACAGTAATATGCTTAGTGCTCGTCCCTTATTATTTAACACCAAAAACCTTTCTCTAAACTGATATTTTATTTTTAGTTAGCTACAAATCAAGCAATTCGGTTTTTCGTTTGTGCAGGGATCTTAAACATAAATGCTTTCCATCTAGTATCAAATACCTCGTCAATTTTTGTCTTACTGGAATGGCTTTTTTTAATAAATGCTATAATATTTTTTTAAATATGAGCACAGGGACGGAATCAATGTATAAAAAGATAAATTCCGCTCTTTGATGTTAATTCTAATATCTTGTAATTTTTTTCTTAAATTTACATCGTTAAGCTTAAATTACCAAAACTAGAATTCTTTCGTCACTTAAAACACTTTTGTAACTGAAAGCTATATATATCTACGACTAATGGCTGCTCAGTTATAAGCCGAGTAAGGATTTGAGTACACTGATTTGATTGTGATTAGAGTTTTGCAATATTTATCATTCCTACCACATGCACTTCCAGCTTGACCTACTTTGCACAGGTACAAGTTCAAACAAGGACGGTACCTGTGCATTCAAGTAGGCATACTAAGTATCGCAGACCCTTCTAACTCCTAATTTTCAGCCCCGGATGGAATTTCGAGGAAGATCGCCCTGGGGTGCGATCCGATGATTTTTCACCCCTCTTTCCCTACTTACAACCTCTCTAGAGGATTTCGGCTTGTCTTTCATTCTGAATTTCTGCTTGACACACAGATGCTGTACGCTTATGCTATATCCATGCTTCCTGGAGGATTCAAGGCCAGGCACTTTGGTACAGCAGTCAGAGGAACCACTAATCACTGTCCCATCTGGGCGGCATCAGCTCTGCAGAAAACAATTCAGAGTACAATTTATAGAAAAACTGATTTAGAAATCCGCGTCTCGAGGAATTTCGGCTACCACCAAATTTCTGATGATGAGAAGCAGGCTTATAGTGCGGCCAATATGATGCATCGATTCAAAAGCGAAGTGGGAAGGATTTCCAAAATGTTATCGTTTCTTTCACGCTCTTACTTTTGGGATAGTACTTTGGTGGAATTTGAAAGGTCGAATGACCCGCTGCACCAAGAAAAGAACCTGCACTGTTGTACTAACAATCGTAAATTTTGAATGTTTATTGTTATACTTCTTCAAGATATTTTTTTTAATGTATCAAGAACGTTTGGACAAATCTGTACGTAGATAATACTTAAATTATCTCATTCTGGAAAATGTGTGTATTGTTTTGAGTTTTACATGCGGCCTTGGCTATATAACGCAAATGTAAAAAACGCAAAATATCCTCTGTAAATATTAGTTTTCTAATAACACGCATCCAACGAAATTTTAGAAGAAATCAGTCAAATCCAGTGATGAATGCGCCATCGCATACTTTATGGTTAATAGCTTACGAATCATTATTCATTCAAACGCAGTTCGAGGAACGAGCAAAGCCAATTTATGGAACCTGTAGAAGGTGGTGACGAAATCAATATCTTTCAGATATCTTTTTGGATCTAATGCTTTTCCTTGGAATTTACGTTTGCCTTCCTAGATAGAATTTAAACAATTCATTTAAAGTTTATTTAAAATTTAATGAGTTGCCTCAAATAATCTAAATAATAAGTGGCTAGCACAAATATTCCACTACAAAGTTACTTGCAAACACGTGGCATAAATCTCGCTCGCGGCATAAACTCTTTCTCAGTGTCAACCGGCTCTAATCGTAACTACCACTTCTACTGCGAACTTTTTAATTATCTTACTTAATAGTATTTCTGAATTCATTGAGATTTCCCATTCATGTTATTTAAATTAGCATTCTAGCAAGAAATTGCAATTAGAAGGGAATGTTTCTTAAAACAAAAATAATTGATTAGTACAAAATAAGGCCTTTACAATAATAACATCCACTAAAACATCATTTAAACAACTTCTCATATGCAGTTCCTACATTACATTTCTTCATTTTTCAGCTACTCAGTACTGACCGCGTTAAAAAGCTTTAACAGTCGCATGCCACCTGCCATCCGCGTATGGACACGTTGAGTGCAGGTTCTTTAATAACGTTATAAAACTTAAATTTTCTTGAAGATTCTTTCATAGGGCAAAGTTCCTGATTAAAAAAAATGAGTCAATAAAAGTTTGCTTTCAAAACTGCAGTAACTTTGTTCATGGCGCACATTAATAAAAATATACAAATTTCAAGTTTCATATATGCCTTCTACAAAGAAAGTTGTAGTTAGTGTGCAGTGCCTTATTCTACGAAAACTCTTTCAAAAGAAACCTAGCTCATAAATATGTAAAATTGTCCTCGAATAAAAATAATAATTCTGCATTTGACGCATAAATTAATAAATATTTTCATAATCGCTGATACTCTTAAATTTTGGAATATAAACATTTTAAATCATTAGCATGTATTTTAACTCTTTGAAGACCATAACTCCCCAGACGACCTTTCATTCAAACGACCACAACCGCCAAAAACGGCCGGAATTCCCACGTTGTTTCTTTCTCTCTCCTAAGGTATGCAGTAGCAAATGCAGTTTCCCCAAATGCATTGTATCAGTTTATTGCAGACTGCTTGTCCTAAAAGGATTTATTTGTGCTTTCTATCTTTACTTGTTAGGAAGAACACAGAATGAGATTTGAAATCTTCACTCTTCTTTGTGCGTTAATGGATGGGGAGAGGAGGAAATTGCTGTGACTCTCGAAAACTTTCTCGGGTGGTTCGGTATTTTATTCATACAGGTTAGGAAAACTTCGGTTTTCAAAGAGTTAACGGTATTTCATTTTCCCTAATTAATAAAGTTAGTTTTTCAAATACGTTTACTACGGCATCGGGGTAACCATTTTTAGTTTCATATATTGGTGACGATTATTTTAATAATTCAAGAAATGCTACTTTTAACGTTTCAAGATGAATAACAAATTTATTGAATTTCAAGGTACAGAACAATTCATTTCTGTCATCTACAAGAGCGAAACATTCTGCTTCTTCTTACACGTTTGACATATTGAAGAAAACCTAGATTTCAATTTTCTCGATTCTGTGTTAAATCAGCTTTCAAGAAAAAACTCACAAATCTGAAATATATAAAAATTTATATGTATCATTAAAGTTTCATTTATATGTAAGAAGTTTTTTTTTTCCCTCTTAAGCGGGAATTCTTTCTTGTAAACTGAAAACATTTCATGATAAATAAAGCAATGTAAATATTTCAAGAAAAAACGATGAGAAGTTAAAAATTTTATGCAAAAAGAAGTATTTTATTCAGCACATATTTTAAATTTTTTCTAAAAATTTCTTTGAAGTAAGCAAGAGCAATAAAGTTTAAGTTTAAGTTTAAGTGTGTGATTATGGCAAAGCCTCGAGGGCTATCTGCTAAGGGGAGGGATGCCTTCGTGGAGGACTTTCTAGGGAAACTGGCTCGTATACACGTTACACATGGGGAAAACCACGAAAACGCCCATGCAGCCAGCCCGTTCGCGGGATTCGAACCTCGGACCGAACTACCAGTGTTCAGCGACTTTACCGCTCGGCCGCTGGTGGGCCAAGAGCAATAAAGAAAGCTCAATATTTTATAGTTCCAACTTTTATTCTTTCTTTTAGCAGCAAACCGCATGTACATAGAGCAACATTTCTTCTTCTCTATTCATTCAACATTTTATAAAATACGAATATACAGTATTTTTCAATCTAAAATGTGTTTCCGAAATTGTAAGTATTTCATAGTTTAGTGTCGAACAATTTTAAAATAACTTTTATTATGTAAAGCATGCTTTCTCTGTAAGTAGAATGCAAGGCGAGGAAAAAAAAAAAAAAGCATTATTTGAAAAGACAATGCATTATATATTTCGTAAGAATTACTTTTGAATGGAATATTTCATTTCTTTCTATTATGTTAAAATTCCGAAATCATGATAAAAATATGTACATGGAATTATAAGATTTTTGAAAAAGTAAAATTCTCAGAAACATTTATTTATAATTATTATTAGAAACTAAAAATATTACTATTGAAATTGATTTTCGACTTTATGATGTTAGATCAAAAACATAGAAGATAATAAATAATAAAATTTAAGAAAACAGATTATTATGAATTCTTGAATACCTTTTTCTCTGTTGCCCACAGTTTTTGCCTGAATATTTCGCTTCTTATAAAGCATTTATTTGTAGTCTCTTTTAGAATTGTTATCTTTATTCGCTTGAGTAATTTAGATTGTTTAAAATATTTTCGTGCAGTTTTACATATCAAATTCGGTTTTAATACAATTGAAATTTATCGTGAATAAATGCGAATGAATATAAGGATTAAGTAAGGCTATATTGTTAGGTTCGTAATAAACTGAATGATGATACAGATGATAGCGTGATAGCGCCTAAGGGAAGGGATGCCTTCGTGGAGGACTTTCTAAGGGAAACTGGCTCGTATGCACGTTACACATGGGGAAAAACAGGAAAACACCCATGCAACCAGCCCGTTCGCGGGATTCGAACCTCGGACCGAACTACCAGTGTTCAGCGACTTTACCGCTCGGCCGCTGGTAAGCCATTAAGAATGTTAAAGACAACGCAATACAAAGCACATATAAATGGCGAAGCTCGTACGAAGCCAATACCCCAACGTCTACTCTGACCTGGAAAACTCAGAACTGATAGAACTGATACTATCTCCGTCCTTATATAATTCCCCTCCGGCCGCAGAGAAAAGTCTAGTACTTTCCATTTCTCGAAATTACTGGAAGGTATGTACGGTTAAAGTTACATATACAATTACCCATATAATTATATATATATATATATTACAGCTTTTCAATTAGAGTACCAGTTACAGTTATACAGGGACCGGACCAAAATAGAGTCAAGTGGTCGCCAAGTTTGCAATTTCTCTGCAAATCTGGGAACAAAAATTAGTCAACAAAGCATCGCCAACTTAGCGATATCTCACCAGGTTTATGAGATAGCTGTTTACCTCAAAGTTAAATAGATTTGCCCCTGTAACCTTATTTTTCCGGCTTCGTTTTTTTCTTGTATTTCATGTTACATTAGACAAAAGATACTACAGTATAATTTCCCTAAAATTATTTATATATAGACAAAATTCTTAACAATAAAAATTATGTCAAATGATATAAAACTTTGAACAAGGATATAAGAGCCCAGTTCCGGTTTTTTTGCGACTAAATACCCAAGCCGTATACAACTTTCTTCGAAACGTACCTTATCGGATTTGATAAATAATCTAGTGGCTAAGACTGTGAACACTGGATTCCCACGGATACTATAGTATCCGTGGAAAATAGCTCGTATTTCTCGGGAAAATAGCTCGTTGCGTGGATGCTTTTGCTGTCTTTTTCCTGTATAACATTAATATGGTTAATTCCCCTTACAAAGATCTCCTGAAGAGATTATGCTCTTAAGCAGGCAACCTTGCATGCTTTCCCTTTGATAATTTAACTTTTACCCTTCAGGAAGTTATTCTCCGTAAAATTGCAAAATCTGGATGATCTGTCGCAATAAATTAAGTCCAGTCTTCAGCTGCGATGCATACTACAGTACATACAAAAAAAAAAAAAAAAAAAAAAAAAAAGAAAAAAAGAAAAAAAGAAAGAAAAGAAAAGGAAAAGAAAAAAAAAAAAGCTTTAATCTGAATAATTTGAAACTAAATTTTGACTAAACAAATAGACTGATTTTTCACCCTATTCTCTTTACACTCCGATTGTATAAAGATTATACGATAACAGTATATACTACAAGTTTTCCGTTTGGGGTACTTTTATGTTAATAAGATGCCAGTCTCCAAATGTTCGTCACAGCAACATATGTGATAGTGCCCAGGCTGTGTGCGGAGCCTTATTTATGCAAAAGTGACTATTTTTTTGTGTGTATGGGAGGGGGAACATGGTTCTTGGCATAGCGAACAATACTTATAAATTTTGTACTGCATACATTAAACGTTATACATGTTACATTATATGTGATATCTTAGTGTTATTAAAAGTTCCTTTTTTTGCGAAGTTTTACGTATTGTTAGGGTTACCGCCTTCTAGTAGATTTCGAGTTAACATTTATTTTTGACACTAAATAGCTCTTCCTTTTAACAGAAAAGTACATTCTCCTTCCCCAAGCTCGACCATTTTGAATGATTGATAGAAGACATATATATATATATATATATATTGGGAGAGGAAGTTAAGAAAGAAAATACCTCAATAATACATAGAACTAATTTTAATACATTCTAATTTAATTAATTCTGTAACTTAAAATTTAATTTTAATTAATTCTGTGATTTCCAAACAGCTAGTTGCTAAAACGAAATGTACGAAGGAAAACGAGAGTAAGTTACATTAATTTTTAATTTTGCTGTACTCATTTGTTAAGAACTTAGCTAAATCGTTTGAGGAGGGGGATAATAATAAAAAAAAAATAAAATAAAAGATAATTTCACTGTGGAAACAGATTGAAATTTACTGATACAGAATAAAAAGTAACAAAAGAATTGCATCGTTCCCTACCATTTGTGAAAGGTGTTAACGAGCGAGAAATGTTTCTGCTCGAGTTTCAGCCATCAAATTTCAACTCTTTACTATGCCGTGGTCTGCTGAAACACTGATGATGTAATTACGAAAATAGCAAAGAGCAAGAACCTAAAGTTATTCATGTTCTATTCATTTTAAATTACATATTGGATTAACTCGGTTAAAAAAAAACAGAAAAATATTCGAATCACGTACCGTATGCAACCCATGTGCTTACAATTGCGTTTCGGCAATTTAGGGTAATCCTGTTCGCTTAAAAATCGATGGCTGCTCCAACGTATTACTGGTGCCATCTGGTGATGAAACTCAGTACTTAGGCCAGGCTTTAAAAGCATGTTAATTTTCGTAGTCGATATTTTAGTAATTTTTAAAACAATAGCGATAACTGCAAATTAATATTAGCGACAAATAAAGAACATGATAAATAATTCTCTTAAAAAAGGGGGGAAAAGAAAAAAAGGAACAAAAAAACAATTGACAATATTTTTAATGCAATTTAAGTTACAATTTAATAAGGCATTTAAATTTTTAAGGCAGTTTAAGAATGGGTATATGAAAGGAAAATAATAAGGATTTTACATAATAAGAGTTTAAAAAATATGCATGTAAGATGCGTTTTTAAACATTATTATGTACATTTAAAATTTTCTTTACTTTTTCCTTCTTCTGAATATTAGATATTTTATACTGAAGTCCGCCACAGAAATATTAGTTTGGAATTTAGTATATTTTAATTTGAATTTGTGGTTTAAATTTCACACAACGTTTTAGTTTGTTAAAAAAAATATATTGTCAATACATCAACTCTGTAATTTTGAATTAAAAATTTAGTGAATAGAAGATAAATACAGTATATTTTTCAAAAAACTTATTACAGGGAATCCAGCGTGTTAATACGATTTATGGCAATGTTTTCAATTTAGTAACTGGTGATTCTTCTTAAAATTTTGAAAGAACAAATTGTAATTTAATATTTTCTTGATATGTTTATCTTATTTATTTTCTTCCAAATTGGGTAGTTCTCCCCCTGCCCTCGCTAAGCTGCATAAGGAAGAAATGAAATATATTTTAATATATATATATATATATATATTAAAATAATTTAAATCCAAATTATAATCTGCTCTATCATTTCATAAAATTTTCAGTTGCTTAAGCTTTCTTTTCATATTAGCATTAAATGCTTAAAATTCTGTTAAGGTATTTAAAAAATATTTTGTTATGTCTCTACTAAATGTTTTTGACTAAGAATTTATTTACTGGGAAAGTAGAAAAAAAACGATATATAAGACTTCCAAAAACAATACATTTAATAATAATATTACTTTTCACGGGGATATAAATTAGCCATTTCCTTTAGTAAAATTATTTTAAATTTGTAACATAATTTTTTTAGTGTAAGAAAATTTTTACGTCCTTTAACGAAAGGAAAGGAGCTAGCAATTACATAAATATTACCGTCAAAGTATATAATTCAGTTATTTTTTAGAATACCTACTTATTTCATCAAATAACTAATGAAGTGATAATTCCACATT